AGGGTGACAGGGGCTGCAGAGTCCAGTGGCAGCACCACTTAGATGCCAGCTGGCTCCCCCAAGGAGTGGACACCACAGCTGGGCTTGGGGTGGAAGTCAGGCCTCCCCACCAACTCCCCCTCTGGGCACTGAGAGTGTGCACGTGGCCTACGGTCCCCTCTGGGCACTGTGAGTGTGTGCATGTGGCCTACGGTTTCTCTCCGCTTGGAAATCGTTTTAGCAAAAAAGCGTATCTGCTTCCCACCTGCTGCTGAGGCCTGATGCAAGGTGTGGTGCCTCTTCCGGGACCTGAATTCTCAGGCTTGGCTGGTGGTTGAGCGGGGCCCTGGTGACTGCAGCCAAGCTGGGTGGAGACTGCACCCCAGGAAGGACGGGCCAGCTCCCGCCAGCATCCCAGGTCCAGTGCACAGGTATCCTCACCTGAGAGACCCCGATGCCATCTAAATCCCGGCCTCTCCTCCCTCCCCTCTGCGGAGCCCACGCCTCAGAGTCTGGTGCCGGGTCCATGATCTCAGAGCCAAGAGCGGAATGATTATAGCTTCTACCTGTCAGTCTGGTGGGTCCCAGGGCGCCCAGACGTTGCGCAAACATTCCAGGTGCGGCTGTGAGGGCGGTTCTGGAAGGTTCTGGAATCAATTAGCATTTGAATCGGTATATTTAGAGCCCGTGGGCCTCATCCAATCAGCTGAAGGGCTGAATAGAACGGAAAGGCTGAGCCCTGAGCTGCCCTGCAGGGCTGCCTTTGAACTGGGACCGGCTTTGTCCTGCCTTCACTCACATGGAAACATCATTGCTCTCTCTGGGTCTTGAGGCTGCCGGCTTTCAGACGGCAGCCACGACATCACCTCTGCCGGGCCTGCAGCCTGCCGACCACGTATCTTACAAAGTCACGTGGGCTGAGCTCCTAGAATTAGTCTCTTTCTATAGCGACCTATCTGCTACTGGCTGGGCTTCTCCGGAGACCCCTGACTCATGCAGCAGGTAGTCCTGTGCCAACACCTGCTTGTGCGAGGCCTGTGCCGGGCGGCGGGTTTGGGGACCGCGGGACACCGTCCTGCCAACAGGAGCTCACAGCTGCCACACCCAAGGCTGTCCCGAGCCAGCGGCAAACCGTCCCGGCTGCAAATCCAAACAGCACGGGCTGCGGAGAGCCGGTGGCAGCAACACACACACAGCCTGGAGCCGCCAAAGGCCGGGGAGCCAGGCTGCAGGGCAGGGCGCCTGACAGCACGCCGCCACCATCACATCGACGCCCGTCCCACGGCCCAGCTCAGCTGAGCCCCCTCCCGCGCACGGCACACCCGTGAAATCCCCCACCATGGGCACACCCACGTTAAGGATGTGACTTCCACCCCCCGAGCCGGGCACCCTCCCCCGGGCCCCGTGCTGGACCGCCGCCCTAGGACAAAGTCTCCGGGGTGCTCCAGCCATGTGACCCCCAAACTGGGGCAGCAGGGCGCTGGCGGCCCTGGAGCACCCGCTCAGCCCTCAGGCAGGCCTCCCTGCTGTTCTGCTGCCAGCATTCTCATGGAAAGACGTCTGAGGCCGGGAGCAGCTCTGATGAAGCCTTTGACAGCTCTCCTGGCCTTGGAGAGCCCCTCCTTGTACAGAGAAGGGACTGTCCTCCTCGCAGGAGGCACGCAGCTCTCCCCAGGGAGCCCCCTCTCAAGGGGGAATCTTGTCCCACCCTCCCGGGCTGTCCCCGGCCAGGCGGCAGCAGGTCGGCAGCAGGTGGAGGGACCGTGGGAGTATGCCCCACTGCCGGAGGCCTCCCTCCCCTGTCCCCTGGGGAGAGTCAGAGCCTGCGGGATTAGGCAGGCTGATTGGCAGGGGGGTAACGTGTACCCTGGGGCCTCAGGCCAGCAGCTCTGCACCCAGGGCTTCAGCTGGGTGAGTGAGGGTGTGTACGCGTGTGCACACGTGTGAGCGTACTTTTGTGTGTGTGCACGGCTATCTTAGAAGGAAACCACAGGCTTCTTCGGACTCCCAAGCTGGCCTGGCCCATCAGCTGAGCCCAGAGGTGTCTGTGCCGAGGAACTCCCGGCCCCTCCCCCACTTTGCCTCCCCCCGCTCCGCACAGCCTCACAAGCGCCCCCCCCCACAGCTGTATGGTAGGAGGCCAGGGGCCCCCACTTGGATGGCTCGCCGTAGCTCCACCTGTGAGAGCTGAGATGCTGGCGTCAGTCACTACCTGCTGGCTCTCCAAGTCGAGTTGCTCGGAATTGGGCACTCAGACAGGACCGGATGCCAGCCCCGAGACCTCGTTCACACGGCCCTCATCCTGCCTCGTTCACACGGCCCTCATCCTGACCTCCAGGCTCCCAGCCACCTCACCACAGCAGCGGGGAAGGGCGTGGCTGGGATCTGCCCAGCACCTGCTGCAGGGACTATACCCGAGGAACCATGGATTAGGTCATAGCCACCCGGGACGGAAGCAGCCCCGTGAAGAATTTCCAGACGATATCTGCCAGCCCTGCCCGGCAGGACGGGTCCTGCTGATTCAGGGCAGTCAGGGGTGCGTGGGTCCGACCAAGAGGGCTCTCCCTTCCCTCCCTCCAGCAGCACGTGGGAAAGCTGGGCTGTGGAGGCCCAGAGGCATCCCGCCTGCATCCCACAGGCCTGGACTGTCCTGGCCAAATGCTCTTGTCCCCTTAGGTGCCGCCCATCTTTCGGGCGGGACACCCCGCTCTGTGTCAGGCCTGGCCCTCCTGGGCCTGGCCCTCCTGGGCCTCCTTCTCCCCCAGGAACGGAGCTGCAAAACGTCTGGAATCACACAAATGTGGTTCAAACCTCTCCACCACGTTCTGCCTGTGTGACTTTGGACAAGTGCCTCGGTTTACTCATCTGTGGAATGGGAGCGATAGTAGCTCCCTCGTGGGTGTTGGTAAGGATCCAATGAGACGACGCTCAAAGCACGCAACACAGGGCCTGAGCATCCTAAGTGACCAACAAAGACGCCTGTGGTCATTATGATTGCTGCCGGTGTTAGAGTCACCCTCCAACCCGGCTAAAACCAAGTGCTTTCTCTCCTCTGAAGTCCATCTGCCCCAGGCTGCACAGAGGAAACCTCACGGCACCGCCATGCTCACGGCTCACCGCCCCGCCAGCCCCCGGGAGCCAGTTTCTGATTAGACAGAGGAAACCCAAGTTCCCCAAAGCGCCGCGAAAAGCGGCCACTAGGAAGCTGGTTCCTTCACTGTGGAAAACTACTGCAGCTCCTGGCGGCTCCAGACAGAAACAGGCCCATCACCGAGTCTGACCTTGGCAGCAGGAGCCTCCAGGCACCCACATGGGGGATGGGGCCCAGACCCCACTGCCTGATGGGCTCCTCCCCACCGGCTTCCACACCGCCCAGGCTTGCTCCTCCGGGCTGGAAATCTCAGCATCTGCCTAGGTTTTCCCGTCCAGAGCCAAGCGTGCCCACTGGGTGCAGAGGGTGGGCCCCTCGTTTCCATCCTCCCTCAGCCTCCGCCTGCGCCCAGGGGCGCCCGGTCTTCCAGTGCCGGCTCTCTACCGGACGCGGGGACCTCGCGTAGTGGGGCGGGGACAGGGGTGTGGCCCGTATCGCCCAGGCTGGGACCAGTCCCTCGCGCCCACCCAGTAGCTCGGCCCGCGGGGCCGGCTCCGCCCGCGCTCCCCTCCCCGAGGTGCCTGGAGCGCGGCTGGCGCGAACAAAGCCCTGCCGCCCGCGAGAAACTTCAGTTCGAGACGATTTCCTCCTTGACTCAGCGGCAGCGGCATCCGCCGCAGGTGTGGGCCCCGCCGCAAGCCTGCAGCTCCGGGAGGCTCATCTGTCCCTGGTGCGACTCTCGTGGCCTGCGCCCGCGTGCGCGCCCGGCCACCTGCCCCGGCCGCTAGCCCTGGCCGCTCCCCCCATCCCCGCCTGACCCCAACCACCATCCATTCCCTCCCCCTCGGCCTGCCTCCTCGGAAGCTCCCCGCCTGGGGAGCGGGCAGCTAGAAGGGGCGCATTGTGCAGCCGATTCCCTGGAGGCAGGCGGGATGTGGGGTGCTGGTCCGCGCTCGGTCCCGCCTTCCCGGCCGCGGAGGGGCTTGGGGCGCACTGCCGGCGCCCCGAGTCCCGCCCCGCGCGGCCTCCCCGATCCCCTGGTCCCCGCCCAACCTCTGAGGGCACCTGCCGCGCTCCTGACATCAGCAGGTCTGGGCCCGGCGCACCTGGGCGGCGCGCCCACGAAGGTGGCCTGACCCTCCGCGGCCCACGCTGCCCCGAGCACTCACCGTCCAGAGGACCCAGCCGCCGCGCTGCGAACCAAGCTCTGGCTGCCGCTCAGCGCCCACTCCAGCTTCATTCATCCTTTCCCGGGCCCGCCCCGCCGCGGGGAGGAGGCTGCCCGGCCTCACCTACTGCGGCCAATGGCTGTGCCGAGCGGTCTGGGGCCGCGCCCCCCCCGGGCCCGCCCACTGAGAGGTGACAGAGGCCTGAGTGCGCGGCTGGGGAGGGAGCTGGCGAGGGGCGGGGCCCGGGACTGGAGCAGGGAGGAGGGGGCGCGAGACCCGACGGGGCGAATGGAGGAGGGGCGGGGGCTGGGACGCCCCTCCATCCCCCAGGTCGCCGCCGCACGGGCGCCGGCGCGCGCGTTCGCTGATTAATCCCTCCCAACCCCAAGAGACCCCGATCTCCGAGCTACAGGCTGGGAAACCGAGAGCCGAGCGGTGAAGTGTGTTCCCCAGGCCGCGCGACTACTCAGTTTCGAACTGACTCGGAATTGAAGCAGGGCGTGTAGGGCCGAGACCTTTGGGAGAGGACGTGGGAGGGAGGCAGTTTCCCGCACTACCCCTTCGGCAAGGCCACCTGTGGCCAGGTGGGGGCCGGGGCAGAGGCGCAGGAGTGGTCTAGACCCAGGTCCGGGCTGGGACGCCCACCTGGGAGCAGCCCCTGTGGTGGGCCCCCGGCGCCCGTGGGAGTTGGGAATGCGGCTTTGGGGACGTGCCCTGGGCGCATGGCGAGGCCAGCACCTTCCCCTGGGGAATCAATCCACTGTTTTCCGTCTGTTGCCTTTTCAGTAAAACGATCCTCTTTTGACGTCAGCGCTGATGTCAGGAGAAGGGGAGGCACCAGACACACTGCCCTCAACAGGGGGGCCTGTTTGAATCCTCCCAATATTCCTGCTGTGTGACCTTGAACACAGTGCTTAATTCCTCTGAGCCTCAGTTTCCTCATCGGTGAAAGAGGAGTGACGATGGGGCTTCCTTAAAGGGCTGTGGAAAACACTGAGTGAAATAAAACAGGGCCAGAGGTTGGCCCATGTAAGGGCTCCTAAGAGTTGCCAGGAAGTGACATATTAATAGCCGATCACAGTCACACTCCACAATGTTTCCTTTAAATCAATTTATTTTAAAAAGAAGCCTACAAAGGTCAACCGTGTGTGTGTGTGTGTGTGTGTGTGTGTGTGTGTGTGTATTTGAATCCTGAGATAAGTTGGGTAAGGGAGCAATGACCAGTGTGACCTTAGCCTGGTAAAGCCCGTGGAACCGCAAAGGAGATGCAAGAGGCTGGCCTCTTCCTGTGCGGGGGTGGGGAGTCAGAACTAGAGAAGGAGGCGCTGGGGCTTATGGGAGACTGTCCCGCTCACAGTTAATTGTGAGATGCTCTTCCTCAGTGCTGGGCTTTTGCCCACTCACATCTGGTGCTGGGAGTCCCTCGTGATGTCTGCAGGGCTCCCGGCCGCCTCCACGCCTCCACTCCTGGAAGCTGGGGCGATGTCCAGTTACTCCTAGAAGACTCGTCTCCGCTCCTGGCACTGCCCTTTAAGAGTAAAAAACCAGCAACTGTTGTTCCTGGATGGAGAAGTTCCCTCCAAGAGGATGAGGGACTGCGGGGGAGTCGGCCGTTCTGCCTGGCAGAGGAGGCTGCTGGGAGTGGACAGGTGCCCGCTCCATGAAGATTTCCCCATGAGGACAGGGAACTGAGCTGCCCTGCAGACCTGGGCTCAGTGTGGAAACTGCTGGGAGCAGCGTTTCCCAGGAGAGCCGAATGGTGATGCTTTTTGTAGGTAGTGAGCTCCCCGTCACGGGAGGTGTGTGAGCAGAACTAGCCCACCTTCTGACGGTGATGCCGTGAAAGCATTTCCAATGGCAGAAGCAGGATCAGACTTGGGGTTTCCAAACTTCATTTTGGATTTTATTCCTTGAGACCATTATTTACACTTTTTCTTCCTCTGAACAATTTATGTATTTTATTAAAAGAGTGAGTTTAGTTTTAAAAAGGTGAATCTGTGTCATTACCATAGAGAGGTTACCATAAAAAATGGGTACAAGAGAAAGTGGTATTTGACGTTAGCCAAGTACTGCTGCCTGAGAAGGGCCCCTGAGCCTTAGATCTGCTCTGACGTTAGCCAAGTACTGCTGCCTGAGAAGGGCCCCTGAGCCTTAGACCTGCGCGTTCCTTGTGTGTAAAGGGACACTGGCGAGTGTCAGACAGGTGCTGGAGATGGACTGTCACTAACAAGACGTTTTCTTGGATGTGACCGGCACAGAGCAACGAGAGGGTGGAAGGAGCCAGCTCCCTCAGGCCATTGCGTCCATTACCCACAGGCCACAGAGGCCCTCACCCGCCCTGGGGGGAAACACTGGCCCCGAGGCCCCCGAGGAGCCCTGTCTTGCTGGACCGTGTCTGCACCAGGGATCCTCCCACAGGACTCGGCTACGGGCACAATTTGAAAGGTAAATCGGGGACACACATTTCAGGTGTGTTAATGCAAAACGCAGATCTCTGGTGCTCAAGGCGAACCCTGAGCTCAGGCACCTTGAGGGGCCCCGGGAACACCTGTGCGCCCTGGGACCACGTGCTGTGCAGCCCCGGATGCCAAGGGGTCCAAGATCTAGCTCAGACCCCCCCGGCCACCAGCACCGTGGGCTCAGGAGACTCTATCCTCGCCTTGCAGGAGCTAGGAGGCGTGGGAGGAGGCCCTAGAGGTCACCCGCAGAGCACAGCAGCCTTTGAGAACAAGGGTAGCCTGATAAAGTGTCCTGGAACATTCTGAACTCGCTAAGTTCTATCCCGGTGGGGCTTTGTCTGCAGAGGAAGTCATTAAAAGGGAAAGAAAGCACGAACCCAGGTCCCTCTGGCTCCCCTCTGCTGCCTGTCCTGGCAGCTCTAGGGGCTCAGAATAGGCGCTTCACACTTTTATGGTCAATCACGGTCCTCCGGCACAGTGTTTGGAGCCCCTCCGTCCAAGAACTGAAATGGAGGAGCTGGTGCGGACACACCCCCTCTCTCCACGGACTTCAGCTGGCTCTATGGACATCTTACTTTGGGGAAAGTGTGTCTCCTCCTGAGATCAGAAGAGAAGTGAAGAGAGAGAGAGACAAACTTTCTCCATGTCGTTGGAGACAGGAAGCTCCCCCGCTGCCACACGAGACTTGACACCCCAGTCTGGTGTCTGGCCTGGAAAAGGGACCATCAGACATGGTATCTGAAAACAACATAGCTTAGCGAGCGTGCTGTATTTGAAGAACACTTAAAATCCTATGTTCACTGCTATTTTGGTGAATTTTGCATATGTATCAGTTGAATCATTTGAAACTGCCCATGTTCTTCCTTTTTTGACTTCCCAAGATGTCCATTTCCACCTAATGACAACTGACACCACACCTCAGAAATGATGCAAACATGTTGCAACAAAGTAGGCTGATTTCACTGTTTCGCATGAGAAAGAGGATTTTGCTGAAGGTTAAGGAGGTCAGGCTTGGTTACAGACAGTGGCTGTGTGAGCTGTTGTGATCTGTCAGACGCTGTGGCCAGGTGAGGATGAGTATTCAGTGCGGTCCAGGTGTGGGCTGACAGCTGGCTTACCGAAGAAGAGAATCATGAGGTCAGAGTGGTCCCAGGAAGAGACTCAGCCCAGAGACGTCCAAACTTCCTGGAAGGCAGAGCTTCATGGGGGATTAAGCTTGTCAGGTGAGAGGAGGGCATGGGCCGCTGGGAGGGTCTTTGGTAGCAAGAGTCTATGTATGGTCAAACCGTTTTCTGTCCTCAAAGTTGTAATTCCACCCTAGGCGGGGAGAGCCCCTTTGCAGCAGAGCAGACGGCTCTGGACTCTGCACGGCTGCCTGCTGACCTTTCCCTGGGTCGCTTTATCAGCTTCCGGCACCTCTCACAGCGCTCAGTGCCGTGCTGGGGGTGCGCAGGCCCTCCACTCAAGCTGCCACCGTCGTGGCAGGATCTCTGTGCTCCAACAGCACTGCTTTGCTAACCTCTGATGTGAACTGAGATGTCGGCCTCGGGGGCCGGGACACCGTCCAGCTCGGTGCAAGCACCTGTTGGCTGGTCCAGGCAAATTGTGAAGGGCCGACTCGGGGCCACAAACCTCCCCCCTGCTCCTCACTCTTTGTGTCTCCCCGGCAAGGTGACTCGGAGTTTCAATTCCATCTTTGTCTTTTTTAGAGTATCTGCGGCCTTTGAAGGCAGCTGCTGGGGAATCGGATTCCCCTGCACAGGTCCCGGGCATTCTCCCAAAACGCTGGTGGACGCGGGAGGCTCTCCCTGGGGTTACAGATTCACAGATAAGCCACACGGAGCAACATGCGTTTACCGTCCAAAGGCTGCCCTTCTGGCGGCGGTGATGGGAGCGCTGGGCCAGGAGAACAGAGACCCTCATTCACAAGCACTTACTTGGGTCGGCTTATTCCGCCGGTGATAAATCAGGCGTCTGGACAGGCAGATGCCGGCGGTGTCAGGTTCTCTCTAGAAGCCACTGGAAATTGCTCAGAGAGCTTGGAGTTAGAGACTAGGTTTTGAGTAGAAAAAGATGGAGTCTGGACTTCCCCGCCCTCCCTTAGAGCCCTGAGCCCTAAGGACACCATCTGAGGACACCCCGGGGCACCCTAAGTTCCAGGAAAGGCAGACAGCAGAGTGAGGAGAAGCCCCCCTCCGTGCCGGGGGCTCCACGGCACAGGCGTTGCCGAAACTGCGGGCAGGGACGTGCCAGGCCCCCCGGCGCCCGCAGAGCCCAACACTGTCCAGACCCAGGGCCTCGGCTGCCCAGCATTTCCCTATAAAAATCATTTGAGTTTCATTGTGGACTCACTTGTGCGGTCCTTCTGCATCCGCTTCCATAAAGAAGCAAGTGTCTTTGCCAGGTGGAAGGCATGGGAACTGCCCAGGCCTGCCCAGTGCCCGCCCTGCCAGTATGAGGGTGGAGGTGGGCTCAGAAGGTCCACCCAGTGGAGACTTCACATTCCGGAAGGACCCCACTTCAGGGGAGTCGCTACAGTAGCTTCAAACACAGCTATGTATGCATCGCGGGGTCCATCATGGCAGAGAGACGCCCGCCAAGCCTCCCGCCTGTAATGCACAACGTTATTCGTCAATCCTGTAATTGCCACGTGACTAGGAAGATTGTATTGCATCGAGGGTGTTTTTGTGTTAAAGACAATGAACGCAGACCTTCAAATTATCAACAACTATTTGCCGCGCTGCTCGGGCCTTTCTTCGTGTTTTATTTGGGCGGGAATCTCAGCAAACCGTGCTACTGAGACCCTGCCCTTGGTCTCTTCACCCACAAGCTGCTACCTCCCCAGGAGCAAATGCCCTGCTACTCAGGACAACCAGCAGAAAAGAGCGTCAGACCGTGGAAGGGAGGGATAAACCCAGGCCGCCGAGAGTCAGGGGCCTCTGCTTCTCCAGTGGAGCCGGGGTGGACCGTCCTGCTCTCAGCCTCTGGACTCCCCTGGGCCCCTCCTGCCCCGTCCTTCCCTCGTTCATGTCCCCCACTGGCCTGGTGCTGGAGCTCACACCCCCCTGCCTGGCTCCTGGTTCCCTGCCCGGCCTGCCCCACCACCCCCCTAACCCTCACCCTAACCCTCAGCTTCCCAGTGATCTGCCTGCCATGTCCACTCCAGCCAGGACCTTCCTCTCGCCAAGGTACCCTGCAGGTCGTCCCCCACCCCCGTGCCTTGGCACTTACAGTGTTCTTGAAAGCTTCCTCCTTTGTTGACTATGCAAATCTCTACCCCGCCTCCTCCAGGAAGTCCTCCAGAACCACTTGTCCTCTCTTCCCTCTTCTTCACCCCTGGAAGCCAATGTATTGCTGGGCTCTGTAGTTCTGTAAAGAGGGCCCCAGTGTCCCCTCTGCTCAGGATGGCTTTATCAGAGTCCCAGAATTGTGACCTGGGCTGGCTCCTTCCTGCCGACCACACTCATTGAGTCACCAGGACTGGCCGAGCCAGGGCGGAGTGGCCTGAGCCCTTGACCCACCTTCCTCCCCAACCCAGGACCTTTTTGACCTCCAGAGGGGCAGCCACGGCCAGATATCCTGGTTGGCCCTGCTCCAACCTGCTGACAGGTGCCCAGGCCTGAGAGCCCCTCCCCTGGAAAAAAAGAGACAAATTCCCATCTGAGAAGCCGAGCTCCAGGGGCTGCAACGACAAGGCTGCAGCTGCTGCTGCCCTGGGGCAGTTCCCAGGGTGGGGTGGGGGTCTGGGAGTTTGCTGGGAGGCAGATGCCACCTCTGGGGGCGCTGCCACCCAGGTCCTGACAAGTGCATGTGTTGTGGCCTTGATACTGGTGTTGACATGGCTCTGGGGCAGCTGGAAAGGAGGGCCAAGTGTGGCTCCAGGCCGGCGGGGGCGGCAAGGCTGCAGGTGGGGCCGGGAGAGCCAGGCGGGCGCTGTGGCCGCAGGCAGGGGCGCTGCCAGCCCCGGTCGGGCGTGGTCTGACTCCTGGAGGGCCCGGGGTTTGCGAGGAGACAGAGCCGCTGCGTCTGGACGAGAGATGGGGCTGGTCAGGCCTGCAGCCGGGAGAAGCTCCTCGGCCCGGGCTGACCCTCCTGGGGACCAGCTGAGACTCTGGGGCTTTGCCTGAGGTGTGTGGGTCCCCGACTGGCCCTCTCCAAGCCCCCGGGGCCTGGCCAAGGCCACTGGAAGGGCTACAGGGGATGTCAGGAGAGAGCACCCAGGGGCATAAAAGAGGGGTGCCTCCTGGTCCCCGAGATTCCTTCCGGGGAGGTGTCTGCTGTCTTTGGGGCCCGGGACCCCATCCAGCTTGTACCAGCTTGCTCTGACCTGAACAGGCCAGCCAGTGGGCGAGGCGGGTTCAGCGAGTTCTCAGGGAGGGCGAACGCCATCTACACCCACTTAGTGGTGAGGAAATCTTTCCAAAACTCTCCATGATCGTGCGGCCCGTGGCCAGCGCCCTGCAGAGGAGCTGGGCCCTCTCCCACTTGGGAGAACTCTCACTTTCTCATTCCAGGGGAGAAACGCGATTTTCTGGCTCACCGAGAGGCCTGAATGTTCTATTAAACCCCAGGAACACGCAGACCCAGAGGGGATTTGAAGAGCCGGCTCAATTTCCGGGTCCCAGATGCCTTGATCACCACAGGAAGTGGGGTGGCTGGTGGCTCTGCGGGGCCCGAGGGTGCCCGTGTGTGCAGGCCCCGCGAGGCGCCTCTGGGGCTCTGCGCGGCCTGCAAGGCACCCCCGCGACCCGCCCGTCTTCCCGCCCCGTGGCTCCTCCCTCCCCCGGCCTGGGGCCAGGCCTGGGATGCCCTCTGCAGCCACACCTCTCATTTCTGCGGGAAATGCTTCCCACAGACCTTTCCAGACGCCCCTGGCTGGGCCAGCAGCCCCCCTGAGGTCACCTCTGAACCTGGGCACCTTGGTGACCGTGGCCGGGTCCCTCCCCACGTCCTCCTCCTGTGCAAACCCCACCCCATGCTGCGCCTGCTGCCCTGGGCTCCATCCAGCCCCGAAGCCCCCGACAGGCCCCGCCCGTCATCTGCCACCCCCAAACCACTCCCGTGCTTTCCCCTGGAAGCCCCCCTCCAGCGGCACCGCCTGGGAACTCATCCCCCCGCCCTCCAAGGCCTCACCAGCCTGGCGTCCTTTGTCACTGCCTCTCTGTGCCCTCGGCCTCAGAGCGGGCGCTGCCGTGGCTCAGGCCAGCTTCTTTCCTCTGTCCATGTGCCCCAAACCCGTGTTCCCACCAGGCGTCCTCCCACTTCTCCCTGTGGAGGCCTGTGGTCCTGCGAGGTGTCCACATGGGTCTCTCCAGTGGTCCCCCAGATGCGGTCATGGCCCAGGACCCCCCCCTCTGCCCACACCCAGGCTTCGTTCACTCTTCCTGTTCCCCATTCTGCACCTGGCCCATCACCTCTGCTTGCTGCTGTCCGCATGGGTCCCCTGGCCAGACCTGTGTGCCTTTGTGCAGTGCTTGCATCCGGGATTCTAGCTCAGGGACTGTGCTGGCCACCAGTGCAGACAGGCCCCTGCATTTCACTAAGAATATCGACCAGCCTCTCTTCTGCCCACTGTCTGCACCCCACACATTGTCCCAGCCCTGCCCTCCCCAGTGTCCAACTGCCAGGGCTCCCCAGAGACCCCAGAGCCCTGGGCCAGGACATCCCACAGCCCTCATCAGGCTACTTCCATTTGCTCCCTCCCCGGCCCTGCTGATCTGCCCCCGCCAGGCTTTATTCTCCCCTTGGCTCTCTGCATGTCTCTCTGTCTCTATCCCTCTGTTTGTCTCGTTCTCTGCCTCCTGTTTGTCCCAGGCATCTTATTTATTGCAAGATCGACATTATAACAACGTTAATGGATATTTTTAAAGGAGAACCGTTCGCTCGTGGTTCCACACGTGCACAGCGGCTGCGTTCCTGTGTCCACGTTCTCTCCAGTCCTGGCTGGTGACGGCCACTTTCGCATCACACAGCTTGAGAGATACCCTCTCCTAACACTGTGTCCACATTTACCCACTGCTCCATCCCTGTCACCAGTGTGGTCCCGTCCTCATGCTGATGGCCATGGCCTGGCATGGACACGGGGCTGGGGCCCTTTTCCCGGCTTGGCCGCCATGGGGGCCACTTGTGCTCTGTGTTTTTCTTTGTTCCTCGTCTCGGGAACGTCTCTGAGGTCCCTGAGGAGCTGGCACAGGTGACTCCAGAGAGGACTGGTGGCTGTGGTTACCTGCCTCCACTTTGGGGGGAATCACCTGGCAGAGCTGCTAAAACACAGACTGCACGTAACCCCACCAAGCTCGTGCAGACAGCCCAGTGCCCGTCGGCAGGGGAGCAGAGGGTGCGTGATGGGAGAGCAAGGTCCTTGCTACTGGAGGACATCCGTGCTGCGCTGATGCCTCAGAGCGAGGTACCCGGGAGCTGCACCCCTGCGGCCTGGCACCTGTCTTAGCAAAAGGTGGGGAGGGCACCCACTGTCCACCCTGGGGGGTGTGGGTGGGGGTGCTGACTTCCTAGACACCCCAACCTGGTCCACTGGGGGTGCAGGCCTGGTTCCTCAGTGGGCTCCAGGCACCCCCAGCCCAGCGCACGGGAAGCAGCGAGGGAAGGGACCTTGGTGGCGAGCCGGGCCCAGGACAGCACATTCTCGAGGCCAGAGCTATTTCCCCACTGCAGCACCGGCTTCCTGGGTGGCCTTCTCACCCAGCAGTTACCACTCAGCACCTCCCACTCACGCCTGTCCCGAGCCGGTCCAGCGGTGGGCGCTGGGCACCTCCCAGCACAGTTCCCAGTCCACACACCACCCACCGAGGGAGGGGGCTGGGCTCCCACCTTCGAGCCTTTGGTCCTCAAACCTGCAGCTCCTCTCCCCCTCCTCCCTCCTCCCTCCTCCCTCCCTCGCCCAGCGGTGTCACCGTCCAGCACATCATTAGGCTCTGCCCCAGGTGTGACCTTGCCCCTTTGCTTCCCCCTTTCCCACCCCTACCTTGTTCCTGTTCCGGCCTCTGCATCTCCTACAGCCAGTACGCGTTCTGCCGTCTCTCCGGCTGCGATCCAGGCTCCATTTGTGCCCCTTTAAATCCCCTTCCAGAATCCCAGGCCTGGAACCTGCAGAGAAGGTGCCCCCAGCCCACTCTGCCCCCTGTGGGGGACCCTTACTGCTTTTGGGTGGGTGGCGGTGCAACTCCCAGGAGAGGGGGCTGCCCCGGCAGCCTGGCAGCCCAGACCAAGTAACCCAGAGAATGGTTTTGGGGAGGAGATCAAGCTGATGGGCTGGGAGCTGCAGCTTTCAGGGTCAGAGACCAGAAAGGCTGGCTGCCTGACCCCAGGTGTGCTGGGCCCAGGCTGGACACCCTCCTGGGCTCAGCCATTCATGGGGAAGGTCCCTTCTCCAGGCTGCTCCCCATGCACTGGGCTGGGGGTGCCTGGCCCCACTGAGGACCCAGCCCTGAGGAGGACCCACCCCTCCCTGGCCAAGCCATTCTCTTTCCCTGGAAGCCCCCTCTGCGGCCCGCACCAGCCTTGCACCTCCTCAGAGTTGTAGCTGCTCTGATTCAGTCTTTGTTTCCTGCTCTCATCCTTTCCGTGTTTGCAAGTGACTTGGGAGCCCGGCTCCTGCTGGGGCTGGGGCCACTGGGGGAGGCCAGGGGTAGCTAGGACCTCAATTTCCAGGGAATTTATGTCAGCATTTCTCAAGAGCACACCCACCCCATCCTCTACCCGCTGGGGGCT